TTTTGAACTATATAGCCTGTAAAAATAGTTCCAACAATTGGCTATAACAAAAACATGCATGTTTTCATTGAACTTCAAAGAAAAGTGATAACAGTTTTCACTATTTGTTAAAAACATCAATTAAGATAAAGGTTAGCGAGCAGAGCAAAGACACATTTTAAAAAGAAAGTGAACCACGAGAGAACATCAATATAAAAGAAGATACTTTTAAGTGACAGTTTGCACATCTAGAGTTTAAAAAGTTGCTAGTGTACGTTTAATTTTACTTGTGTGGTGAATTGAGTTTTGGTTTTGACTCTAAAATTTCTTTCTGAATTAAAACAAAAGCTGTGAGCCGCTGAATTACAGTTACACTCGGTTTTTGATTAAAGTGTTTATTCGGTGACTCATTTCTTGGAAACCCACAAAACTGGGTCTATCTGTTATCTGTTAATCCATTTGGGCAAGTAGACATGGTCAAGACGGCCTCCTGAGTTCAAACTGAGCAGAAAGGGAAGGGAAAGTGATCGGGAATTTTCCTACATGATCATTTAGAAAAAGAGAAAATATCCAATGAGCGACAACTGTCTGGGTGAAAACGGCTTGTTGATGAAGAGAATGGTTTTACTGCTTTGAGTTTATAGGAAGGTAACAGTAACTCAAATTACCAATAGTGACAACCAAAGTATGCAGACGAGCATTTCTGAACACACAGAAGCAGAGGACCACACCTGGTGCCACTACTGATGCTACAATTCACACAGTCTCGCCAAAACTGGACACTGTTTGTGAAAAATCTCAACTTCTGCCGCAACATTCAGACGGTAGGGTCAGAGTTTTTGTGCTGGTGGTGGCGTAATGGTGTGGGGCTTCAGACAGATATATCAGGATTACTTGAAACTACACCGAAGTGTCCGTTACTAACTATTACTTAAAAGTATAGTCAACCACCTGCAAATCTGTCATGCCGACCTCACCCGTCACTACATGCTCCATCAAACTGTGAGTCTTTCTTTCACATGGTGCATTAGGCCAGAGTTTCAGAAGCTTTTCAACTGTAAGACCACCTGCAGACTGTGAACAATACTCTGGGAAAACTGGGTCTAACTGCTTTCTGCTTTGTCCCATTAGTTAGAGGGTCTCTGTGTTGGGATTGGTGGTGGTACCATTCAGTCTCAGTCTCTGGGGGAGTGGATAATGTTTTAAAATGTTTAAAATTGCGATTATAGGATAACGTCATCACTCACATGTTTTTACAGTAAAAACCAAAGTTAATCAATACTGGGCGTGACCATCCTTTAAAACAGGAGAAGCTTTTGTAGGCTCCTCTGTCCTGGAGAACTTCTACAGTTCTTCATGTGATTGGAGAAAGTGCGGACCGTACAGACCGTAAACAAGCTCCACAACCAGCTGCATGACTTTCAATCACATGTTCAGCATTTGCCACAATCGCTCATGGTGGTCAAGATCATCCCTTAAAACTACACAAGGAATGTAAGCGTTAAGTGCTGAACATCTATTTCTCCCATTTTAAGATTTTACTATTCACAGTATCAACCTAATCCAACGCTTCATAGGACTTTTAAAGATGCTTACACATTTAAAAAACAGAAATATATTATTCTAACGCTACGTTTGTTTTCTAATTAACAAAATATATTCCATACATTTTTATTATGAGTTATTTCTATGAAAAATCAGAATCAGAATACTTTATTGATCCCTTGTGGAAATGATGTAAATCGATCACAAAATCATTCTGTGACTCCCACCTCAGCTGATTTCTTTTCTTTCTTTCTTTTTGTACAATTTTTCCAGCCCAGAGGTGAAAGCAAACCACAGTTTCCCGTTCTTTCATTTTAATGTTTACCCAGAGAACTGCTGCTCATTGGATATTTCCTCTTTTTCGTGATCATTTCCTGTAAACCGTAGTGACGGCTGTGCAGGAAAATCCCAGCAGAAGTCACTTAAATCGCCTTTCTGGCTCACTTTCATGCTCATTTTGAACTTCTCGACGATGACTGCAGTCTTTACCTGAATGCACCGAGTTGAACAGGTGTGTCTAATTACCAGCAACATTGTGCAAAAAAGGCAAAAAACAAAACCAAATTGTCCTCCTCCAGGTAAAACGTGTACACTTTGTTTTGTGAAGCTTCAGGCAGCTCTGGACCTGTTTGAAAATCCACCCACTTAAAAGAGCAGAAAGCTACAGCCCTGGCTTTAAGGGCTCAGGGAGATAATGCGAGTGAAACCACAAAAATTCACTGTTTGCTGCTGCAGCTCAACTTCAGGGTGTGTTATCTTTTAATCCCAACATTGTTTGCTTTCCCAACTAATGACTCCTACTCTTGTGTTAATCACCTGTCTCTTAAATAGTGACCACTTTTCTTCAGTCCTGAGAAGCCGAGCAGTGCAGGAAAAGCTGTACTCTAGTCTGTTGTGCCCCCTGCTGGTGATTCTGTGAACTCAGTCAATCGTTTAAAAACTATAATATGATTTGACTATTTTTACTTTCTAGTATGCAAGTAAAAAAAATAAAGTGTATTAAATTATACAAGAACTTTATCTTAGTGGACTAGAGACATGAGACCCATCCTTTTCATTGTGTCCTTTCTATTGGTTCTTAGGAGGATAAGAAGATAAAAGATCTGGAGTTGATTCCATGTGTTGAAGTTTCATTTAGTAGCTTTTCACTGGAATCCTCAGTATGAGGACCAAGTAATGGAGGCCACCATTAGGCTGGAAAAACAAAACTAACCTAACAGGGAAAATGTAAAAATTTGAGGAGTGGCGAAATTAGCTACTTGGTAAAGTCTTAAAAAGAAGAAATAATAACTGAATTCTTTCCAGGTTTAAAATCAGCTTCACAACTCAAGAAAACTCTTGTGGAGTTAGGTATGTTATTATAAAATCGACAGTCATCTAAGGAGCCAGTTTTCAAAAAGGTGCAAAGCACACGAACAAGAAGGTCAAATTGGACTTTGCCAGAAAACATCTAGAAGAAACTGCAGAACTCTGGAAAAAACAAAAAAACAAAAAACAGTGTTTGGACAGAAGAAATCAAAGTTAACTTGTACCTTTATGATGGAAAAAGGAAAGAGGGGGAGGAGAAAAAACAGCCCATGATCCGAAGAAAAGCATGTTGTCTGTCAAACATTGTAGAGGTAATGTTATGGCATGGGCACGTATGGCTGCCAGTGGAACCAGTGGAAACTGGTGTTTACTGATAATGTGACAGCTGATAGGTATACATGGACAATAACCCAAACAATGCAGAAAATGTGATATTCTTCAATGGCAAAGTCAATCACCTGAACTCAACCCAATGAAGCTGTTTTTTCAGGTATTAAATACAAAACTGAAAGCAGAGAGACCCACAAGCAAACAGCAACTATAGGCCGAGCAGAGAGAAAATAAAGCATTTAGTAATGACAAAGGTTTCTAGAGTTGCCATTGATTGCAAGGGAAATTTTGAGTTTTATGTTTGCTCTTAAATAATAAGGATGAGAAATAAATGAATAAAAAACTGCTACCTTAATTAAACAAATTAGAAACTAATTACATACCTTCAACTGCAACAACTGAACATTTTTTCCACATACGTCTTATGAAAGTAAGACATGACTCACTTTTTTTATTTACAGGAAAGGTTTTACATGGTCAACATACTAGAAAAAAAGACAGTAAAATTCACATTCACACGGACTCACTGACTCTTTTAGTTGCAATTGATAATACTCAGAAATGTGGAACAACAGATTAAACTAAAAAATACATCACGCCTTGACAGAACAAGTCCTGCACAATGTTGGATTTACTGTTAAAAAATGATCAATCATTTAAACACTAATACTATTTGGATGCTTAGCTTACCATGAAGATTGAAAACAGCTGTCCTGCTCTGTATGCTCTCTCAGGGCTCAACAGTTATCTTGAAATGCCTCTGGCCACCTGTTCATGCAGTTATTGCAATGCAAAATTAAAATGAGCTTTAATTTTAAAGGTAGTGGTGGGATTAAAAACTACATGTTTGCAATCAGCAGTCCAATCTGATGAAAATGGGTTAAAAAGCTTTCCTTAAAAAGCTTTTTCCTTTCCCGGAAGTTAAGTTTCTGATGCCATATTTGCTGTTGTAGAATTTTCCTGTAATTCAGGATTCATTTCAGGATTCACCCAGGACCATATTTCTTACTTTAATTCTCACCGATGAAATAAATTACTCCCGTCTGCAACAGGCCTAGAAATGTTTATCTTTTACACTGTATAAAAGAAACAAATGTGTTACTGATCTTCAGAAGATATCACCTACACAGATATCATCTTACATCTGCTGAAATATCAAGTCACTTATTTCTAACCCACACTGAGTCACTGCAGTGTTACAGAACAATGTTGTGTATATGTTACACTTACAATGTAAAAATGTTACTTTTGATAAAGTAACATTACATTACTTTGAATTTAACATGTTAGTAGTATTAGTAACTGGTTATTCTGTGAACATGTAGCTGTAATGATGTCATAACTTACAAAATTGTGACCATCTTCAGCTTTGGCATTACAGAGTGTGTTTTTAGGGTGAATTTAGGTGACTTTGGTTTCCTTATAGCGAGAGCAGGCGAGCTGTTACTTTCCATTTCCTGTCTTTATGCTCAGCTGAGATAACATAATAAGCATAACTCCCAAATTCTCAGACTACACCTTTAAACTTCAGAAACTGGAGGTAGATATACATCCTATGAGTCAAATGAATAAAATCATGAGTTCTCCATTCTGGACGGGTTGGGGGCTCGTTTGCTGCCCGACAGGAGGAGCAATCCCACCACGCTCACAGAAAATATTATCAGTCCACGTGACATTTCAAGTGCTGCTGCTGCTAAGGCACCAGTAAGTTGCAGATATTTAAAAAAAAATTCTCCAGGATTCCTCCTAGATGCAACTCCTTCTGACCTCCTGTATACATCTCAATCAACACTCTCAAAGCAAAAATCACTGACAGTCACCCCAGAGTCTTTCCCACATCTTCATGGTCTCCAATAACCTTATCCCACTGTGGTTACTGCAGCTCCCCTGTTCTTTAATAACTTGTACCGGTACACTTGATCTCCATTCCCTCCATCCTCTTCTTACTCTCCGAGACTCCTTTAGCGAGTCTGTTCTTTCCCAATCATCTGGTAACTGTTCCCCACCATCCAGACCCTGTCTCGTTCTCAGCTGGCACCACCATGAGATAACATCCATCCATATGATGTGTTACCCTATCTTCCTCCTTTTCTTGAAATACCTCTTCACTACATACAACAAATTCATAAAAAAAAAAAATGTAGATGATGTGAAAAATTATTTCAATAAGCTACCTCCCAAAAACCTTTGGCAAGCACTTTTTATATATTTAACACATTTCTTCATATATTTGAAGGATTCTTATTTCTGTGCTCCTTCCCATCTTTTACTCAGTTTTAACTGTTAATCATCACACGAGTAGGATCATTACATGTCCATTTTAACACATCTGGAGTGTGAGAATCTTTTTATGTTGACATGAGTCACATTTGAAGCTGTTAAACGTAAATTCAGTGAATATTAAATGCAAAAATCACCCATTTTTGCATTTAATTAAATTGTTATTTTCTATAAGATGCCTTTTGTTTTTCAGTTTTGGACTATTTTAGGAATATAAAGGAGACGTGAGTTGCTCAAGCTGCTGCGTTTTGCCCAGACTTCCTCCGCTTCGAATGAGCATTCGCCGTCAAACACCCTGACCTCTAACCTCCTCCTAATCCCCTGTGATCCAGGCGGCTGTTGCTCAGCATCATCCTGCATCTTTATGTGCGTCATTAAAAGCAGCTTGCGTTGGCTGCAGCTCCCTCTCCTCCCCTCTGCTGGACGCCGAGCTATCTGTTTAACACGCTTTTTCATCAAATGTTGGGATCTCCCTCCAGCTTGGTGAGGTCGGAGGCCGTGCCCATGAACATGCTGCGTCCTCGTTCCAGCCGGCTCTTCTTGTCCGTGAGCCGAAAGGCCTCCATGAACTCGTCAATGTCTATGCTGCCGTCATGGTTGCTGTCAATTGTGATGGCCAGGTCGGAGATGGCCTCGTCGGTGATCTCCATTTTCAGGTAGACGCTCAGCAGCTTCCAGGTCTGACGGAAGTCCTGCATGCTGATGAACCCTGAGGTGGAGGAGAAGGAGGAGGAGATTAGAGGTTCAAGAAGGAGTAATAGGCAGAAACTGTTAAAGAAAAGTGTTGCTGTCTGTGTTTGCATGTGATCAGAGAGGCGGGATGAAAAGACTAGTAGATCAGTGGGTTAGTCATCGTTAGGAATCAGGCGACTGTAACCTCCTGCTGCCTGTTTCGCACGCTACAGGTGGATTAACAGAGGCTAAGCTCAGCAGACGTCTCCCACAGACACATCAGAGCCCTGACACACTTTACTCCGTCTCTCAATCATCTATGTCGATTATAAAAGTTAAGTAATTCCTTTTTCCTTTGGCAGCAGTTAAAAATTAAGTTAAACATAACTAATATATAACAAATAAATCAAGAGAAAAGTGTGCAGAGTAAATATGACAAAACAATTATCTCAATAAGGTAAAAATCCAAAGCCACAATACATACAGAGACATTTTAGTTATTTAATGAAGAAAAGTATTTCTTTCATGTCTTTTGAAATTAAATCTGGCACCTGTTATATATTAATATTAGGCACATATTACTATGTAATTAGTAAATTAAATGTTTTAAACATGTATTTTTTCTCTGTGCTGTTACTTGGGAATGATGCAAAACTGAGCAATCTAAGGGTAATATATTCCATTAGCAGATTTGCTTCTGCATCGAACAGCAATAAACAGTGGGTGTTTTACCTGAGTTGTCCGTGTCTACAATCCTGAAGATTGTCTCCAAAGTGGAGCGGTGGCGATACAACGTTTCCAGCAGACTCTGGTCAATATGCTGCAAAGACCAAAAGAAGAAAGTCTCATATTCATAAAACAACACAAATAAAGTACAAAAAGGAACATCTGCAGCATTCTGGTGATATTTTATATGCAGCATCTTTCAGATTGGTCAGAAAAATAATGTTGTTTAAGCAGCAAAACTCTGTTTGAATACAACCTGGCAACTGAAAAGATTTATTCCCACGCAGATGTTAATTTTAGGATTCTGGTAAAGATGTTCTTAGTCATCTTTAGGGAGGTTTTCACCTTTTCCCAAAAGGCAAAACAAAAACAAAGGTCAATCCTAGAGTGTTCTGAAAGAGGTCACTTTACTTAATTGACTTCTGACATTTATTGTTTCAAGTTGGTGTCAAGGGGCGTCTCATTTCCCTATTTTGTCCATCCTCGCCTCCCCTGTTTTCCTGCCTGTGACCTGGAAATCTATCTCACTGTGCCATCTTGAAGCAACTCATTCCTAACTCATTCTACTTGGGTAGACAGGAAGGTTACAAGGAAACCTGTAATCGATGATACACAGGTGTATCCTTTACAAATAATTTAAGTCAACAACACATGACAGCAGCATGACGCCACGGAATACACACCGTGCCAGGAAAAGGACACAAATCAATGTTCCTTTGTATCCATTTAACCAATTTCAAAGGTGGAAGGGCAATTAATTTTTTCTACTTCTCTACAACTCCCTGAATCTCGGTATAAAGATCCCTTTTCTAAAGTTTCTCCATATTACATTATTGCATTTTCATGTAAACATTGCTACATCAGCTAAGACGGAGCCGGTGAGTTCTTACATCTGTTTTGGATCCTGTGATGGCAAGCTCGTTGAACCACTCGTAGTAGTCTATCGTGCCTTCGCTGTTCTTGCAGGTGACCAGCTGAGAGCGAAGCATCCTCCAGGGCAGATCCAGATGCATCACACTCTCCACTGCAGAGGCCCAGTCGTTCAGAGACAGCAGACCTAATAGAGGTGAAAGGTCATACTAATTATAAGAGCGCAAAGCTCTAATCCAAGTTTGATCACTGTCTACCTTGTCTAGATTATATCTAAGAAGTATTTTGCCACACAGTTTGAAAACATTCACACTAAAATATTATACTTTGTTATTTTGCGACACATTAAAGCCCAGAAAATGTAAACAGCAGGCTTTTTCTCTGCATCAGGAAGACTGTGAGAGCCAACCAAAAGCTAACTCAGTTCTGTTTTCAAGTTTTTCCAATTCTGTGTGTAAAATAATTAATAAACTACCTTTACTTGTAGGCTGTGTTTCAAAGAGAATCAAATGTTTGCTTATCCAAAAATATGTTGAAAAGTCCAACAACATCCATCCAAGTACCTTTTTTTTCACACTATTTTGTGTTAGGCAAAGCTGTTTGTCTATTGTAAGTGAAATTAAATCCCTGAAACAGAAGTTTCTGTGAAACTCTGAAATCTTCTGAGCTAGACTTTCGCCCAGCCCACACGTTGTTTTCATCCTGCACGGGGATCATTATGTTCCACACAAACACAAAGGTGTGGGCTCATATTTCTTTCCAGCAAGTGAATATCTCTTGAGAACTACATGGAAAAAAAAGAAGGAAAGATCTGCAACAAAAAGTAAAGACTGATCTGATGAGGAATGAATCAGTTTATGAAACTCAAACTACACACACCTTTGTTCTCGCTGTCAAACTTTCTGAAGGCACAGAGGAGGTCAGACTTGTGCGCAAACAGCTGCTCCCTCAGGACTCTGAGAGCTGAGCGCTCGGTTCGCCCAACACTGCAGGTGACGAACGGCAAACACAACAGCGTGGCAAACAATGGTTATCAAAGAAAGAGGCAAAAACGGTTTCTCATCAACGTCAGAAACATTTCATGTGCTTAATTTGTGAATTTTTAAAGTTAATAATGTAGATAAGCTGTGTAGACATGCGGAAACTACTAGTTTCATAAAGCTTCCTTATTGTCTGTTTAAAGGGAGCCTGTTGTACTTCCCCTTATTATCTGGCCTGTGTATTCTGTTATAATGGATGGTAGTCATATTAAATGTGGCCAAAGTCTGACATTAGAAAGTTAGTGTATCTCAGGCTTCAGTCTGCTTTAACGGGTCCATAGCAAACAGTTTTTTCTACTCTCTCTACTCTTGGCTCTGGCACACATCTCTGACTGTGGACAGAGGTCTGAAGGTCTGCTTCAGACTATGGATGAACTGAGGTTCTGCACCAAGGCCCTGCATAATCAATATAAGGATTATTTTGATCAGTGAATTATGCAAAGCTACTCTAGCCTTTTAAGACTAAACCAAGTTTGAATTAAGTGAAGAGATGATCTGATAATGAAGAATTTATCTAATGAAGTGAGTGTTTGTAGTACCTCTGTCTCACGGTGAGCTCTCTCGTCATGCTGCTGGCCTGATATTGAATCAAATAAGGCACAAGGTCAGGGCCCAGCTTCACGTAAGCCCCCCTATTGCTCCCCACGTCATAGTAATTGGAGGCAGAGAACAGAGTGAGGACCTGGGTGAATGAAAGAAAGGACAAACCTGTCACTGAAGAGGAAGGAAACACTGATGCTGATCAGGGGAGAGGTTTATGGTACATATGATACTTTAGAGTGAGGCTGATTTTGGTTTTAAAGTACTGAATTTAGACAGCGAGCTGTAGGATTACTGAGCTGACCTTACGGTTGTGGCAGAACTCATAGCCCTCCTGTTTGCACTCATGGGAGCGAATGATGAGCTGCAGATTGTGTCTGTTCAGGAAGTCCTCGGTGACATCAGGGCCCCAGTAGCAGCCTCCGCCCCTCACCTCGTTGGGTATGCATCCATCCTGAGTCATCGGGTCACTCCACAGCAGGTCCAGGATCTGGTGGGACAAAGAACTCAAAGTCTTAAAGTTTCTCTACTATATTTAATAACCATTTCTAGCATTGGTGCGTAGTCCAACTTTACTGTCTGCTATTCAGTAAAAGATAAACATTAAATAAGATAAAAAATAAAACAGAAGAGTCAGAAAAAAATCTGTGGAAACACCAGCTGGGGAAAAAGCTAGCCAGTTTTTAAGAGTAGACTGAAGTCAGAGCAGAGAGATTAGTGACGTGGGGGATTACAGCCTCTGAAGTCTTACGCAGGCAACACACAGCACCTCCTGTTAGGTGAGCGTTGATTACTGTCTGTTTGTCTTTCAGGCTATAACTTGAGCAGGAGTGAGGTGAAAGGTCACGACTTCTGACAAATAGTAAGTCAGTATAAAAATATGTGAAGAGTGTGAGTTTGTGGTCAGGTTAGACTGGTGGGAATTTATTTCATTGTTTAATATACATGGGAGTAAAACTACTAAAATCTTACTACAATTTGTCACAGTCACATGCTTCACATCATACGAATTGTAATATTAGACAAAGGCAACAAGAGTAAATAGAGTAATATTTATTAAGGGAAAAAAAAAGCTATCCAAACCTACCAACCTAACATGAAAAAGTAGTTGTCCCCTAAATCTAATCTGATCTAACGTCCTCACCAGCATGACCTGCAATCAAGGAAATGAGTTTTTCAGATTGCTGTGGAGGAATTTTGGCCCACTCTTCTTTGCAGAATTTTTGAAATTCTGCCAAATTGGAAAGTTTAAGGCTATGCCAAAGCATTTCAATGTAAGTCCAGACTTTGACGAGGCCACTCTAAAACCTTCATTTTGGCAGTAATGAGGCCTGAGTGTGGCTAGTGAATGTGAAAAATGTGGTTAATCACAGTTACTTCATGATTTAATCAGGGTGGGAGTCTGGTAGATTTGGTTAGCTTTTTCTCTTCCCATCATCATTTTAAAAAAGACATATTTTTATTAAATTGGGGGTTTTTTTTGTCTGTTTTTTAAAAGAATTTGAAGCATGCACATGTGACAAATACACAAAGAAAGTGGATTTTGTAGTGGATTGTTTTTTCCCCCCTGTTTCAGCTGTCTCCCGTTAAACATCTGGCTTGTTTACATTTTTCTAGTTTTGGAATAATAAAACTGATTTCGTTCTAACACCGACACAAAAGACTCATTGTTTACTTAGCAGCTTCTAAGAAAACATCTCTGCTCCATACTCGCCTGTTTCCACTCATCCACGGTGTTGTCACTGCTGACAGAGTCGGTGGACAAACACAGAGATTCTTGCTCCGGTTTGTTGATCTGGGCGTTCAGAGTTGGCTCTTCCCTCCTGCTGAGCTCCAGCTGGTTCTCCATGTTCACTCTGATCCGATCCGAGAAGTCCTGCAGCGAACGATTTTGGAAGCAATATCGGGTTCCCATGGGTTTGGGATACGTGAAAGAGGCCCGGCGCTGGAAGACCCTGCTGATGGCTGCGGTGTCCACATCTGCGTCCGAGTCGATGGATATTCCCGCCAAGCTGTGGTGTCTCTTCTTCGGAGGTCTCAGAGCCGAGATGTACTGAAGGAAAACAGGAAAACACAGATTACACACATTGCAAGGATAGTGATGAGTAAATAACAGCTTTACTCATCACATGCTGGTTCCTCACAATGTGTCTGTCAACTCTGGCGAGGACGCCGAGGTCCGTGGAGTCAGAGATCCCCCCGTGGAGGACCAGCACCTTCTGGTCGATCACTGTTGCTAATGGCAACCAGCTGAAAATCTTCTGCAGCAGCTTCAGGATCCTCTTCCCGTGCATCTGATGTAAAACACAATCAGCAAAAGTTACTCAGTTAGTGCTTTTTTATTTCTCTCCTTTGTTTTTGCTCTCCTTGCAGGCAGAAAGTCAGTTTGCTAAGCGGTAACATGTTTGTGAAGAGTTTACAAAGTTACATTAACAAGGAGATGCTTAAAAATAATGAAATTTTCAGTTTTAGTTTACAAAAATTAAACTCCATTTGTTGATAAGATTGAATGAACCCACAGTATCTGTCTAACTTTAGCATCAAATCACAACCTTAATCATCTCAAAGTGCTTTATATATAGAAACCCAACCATCTACCGTTGGTTAATCCACCTGCAACTGGGAACAGTGGGAACAAAGAACCCTTAGACAAAACTAGTTTATTTCTGTGTGTGACTGAGATGTTGCATTGTAACTTAAGACAGCATGCAGTAAGGAAACCTCTGTTTTGTTTTTGTATTCCTTCTGTCAGTCTTTGGACCAGCTCAGTCCCCCTGACTCAACAGAGACCAGATGTCACCTTCTTTAATGACCGTAAATCCTCTTAGCAACGTGGAGGAGTGACTGGTCTTATGTACATAAGACACTGGTTTAGATTGAGCTTTCCTGGGAAGGCATGGGTAAAGGTAACCACGTAAGTTTTGATTTGCTGCTGCCTAGAAAAGCAGCGATAAAGAGGTGCAGGTTTGCATGAGATGAACCTACCTTGTACTTATTCAACACCTCCTTGGTGAACCCGTACCTAAACCATCCAGAGGAGTAAAGAAATAAAAGTTTGAATGACAACAGATGAATTTGTGTATACATACATGTGGTGTATGTTTATTAATTTCACCTGAGGTTGACTATGTGGTCCTCGTGGTTTCCTCTGTTCAGGTAGACATTACTTGGGTAAACGAGCAGGAATGCAAACAAGATGAGGAGGATCTCAATAGAGTCCCTGCCTCTGTCCACAAAGTCTCCATTAAACACATAGGGCTTCTCCAAGGACGGCATGCCGTTCTGTCACGTAAACAAGATCGAAGGAGTGCACAGTTAAAGGGACAAGCCGCAGTTTAAGTGTAAACAAATCAACCACATACAAACAAACCAAACAAGATTAAACCACTGATGCAAAAAAAGCTGCAGGTAAACTGAAACTAAAACCACCTGATTAACTGACAAAGAAGTTAATCAAAGAAGCACATCAAATACTCTGATTACAGCACCTCAATGCAAAACATGAAAATCATTAGATTCTCAGGAGTTTAAAATTATATATATTAATCTTTTTTAAATTATTTAACTACACAAAAACATTTTTTAAGGACATTTTTGGAAAATTATCCTTAAATTATCTTGAACATATGAAGCAGGTTTGAAGATGAAGCAGTGATAGCAATAAAAATGATGAATTTTTATTGATTTTAATAATCGTCATTTGTAAATTTCATTTTTTTTAAATGGTATCTAAAGCTCATCAGATGAAAAAAATCATTATTCTGGGTTCAAAGATGGGATTAATTCAGCACATTCAAAATGTTTAAGTTTTCATACCTTATAGAAAATCAGCAGCAGGTCTTCCAGCTGTCCGTGCAAATCACCTGTAACAACAGGACAGAAAGGGCTGGCTTAAAAATGACTGGAATTTACAGCACACTTAATTTGTATCTATACTTTAATTTAAATTCTGCAACTTTAATGTTTCACTCTCTTCCACTATGAAACAATGGTTTCTGTTGGCCAGCAGAATTGACCAAAGTCCAGTTTCTTATAATAAAACAAGACTAACATTTTAAGGCTTCTTTGATTTTTCATTGTCTTTACTAAATATTTCCAAATTTCATCAGTTCCATGTGCTTTACCACCACTATCAAAGAATATCTTTATCATACCACAAATCGTGATTTCTTTGCTGTGGCAGGTGGAGATACGGTTGATATTTGGAAACATGCGGAGCAGTTTCCACGTCTCCAAGAGGAGCTGAAGGACGTAGCGTGAGTGCAGCTGCTGCTGGGAGAGAAACGTTAGCAAGAAGGCCTCCAAAACAGAGAAAGCAAAGTCATAAGCATATAGGAAATAACTAGGACCACTGCAAATAAAGCTTTTTACATTACAATGCAGTCAATTAATGGCACGTGCTGAACTTGGATGTAGAACATTTTCTCCAAAAAGACCTACTTTCTTATTCCTGAAAGCCTCCACCAGACCGACTGCTTCCTCTACCGTCAGAGGAAAGGTGAGATGAGGTCCCGAGTAAATCTCCGGCACCTCGATGTTCTTGTAGCAGAAGTACCTCTCCCACTCTGCGTCCCGGCAGACCTCGTTCTCTCTGAAGATGTGCGAGATCAAATTTCCTGCAAGGTGGAGATGGTTCAAACTCAGAGATTTGATTTACAGAGGAAAAAAACAAAAACAAACTCAGAATAAATGCAGAAGTCTTACGTTCATTGCTCGATGGTGTGAAATTGTCCATGAGGTAGCCAAGGAAATTATAAAGCTGCACAGGAAAGAGACGAAAAGGTTGTCGTTTTTTTGTTAATTGCTTTTTATTAAGCACTCAGGTCTCGACTGGTTTGTGGCAGCAGTTTCTCACCTTGATCTGGGCCTGCTCTCCGGAGTATTCGATGGACTGGAAGATGTTCCAGGTGTATCTCCGCCTCATCTCTGTGCGGGCGACGTACTGACGGTACCATCGCTGAATCAGGATGGCAGCTCTTATGGCTGAAACACAGAACACATGTGATCAAGAAAAACCTCACATTTTAATCATTTTTTTTCACATGCTACTATTGACACACAGAGTATAAGAGGCGCTGCAACACAAAAATCTGCTGTTTTTAAAACCTTTTTAAAGCAAAGCAGGCAAAATTTCAAAACACTTTTGTATTATTAGACTTGACTACCAATTCTAAGACTTTTATTTCCTGATGTGCATTCAAGTTACAAGAGAAAGCTTTAAACTGACTTCTCAAATAGTGCTTGGAGGACAAACCAAGAGGCCAAACAAGGGTATTTATACTATAGCGGTACTATAGTGGATGTGGTGTCATCACCTTTAGATGGGGCTGAATTCAGCGCATTAGATACCCAGAAAATGTCTCTTTCTGAATTAGTTTAACATTGAAAAAGGTTTAATTTTAACACAAGTTAGGATCTTTTTCTCCTCTGAAACAAATATTTTTCTTCCTAACTGTAACTAAGTATTGGCACCAAAACCCAACCAAATGTGAGTTAAAGCTGGAGTTATAGGTGTCCGATACCCTGTTCTTCCAATTATCTCAGATCCTTTTTTTTTTTTTTACCTTGAAATACTCTTAAAGGACTTCAGGAACACTTTTATTTCCATTCAGATTGGAGGAACAAACAGTTTAGCTGGATAACTTGTTCCTAACTTCCCTGAACCAACACTTAGCAATGAATTTCTACAAGTAATCTAAGAGTAAAGTTACTGTTAAATTTAAAAAAAGGCATAGTGGCAGTTTTATATATGTATGGTTGACTTTAAAACCATAATCAGAAACAGATACAGGTGTTTACTTTCTCCACTTTTCAATTAAAGCTACATCCTATCTGCAACTTTTAGTAAAAATATTTCCACCTTGACCCAGATACCAGAGGTCTGAGTTTATGTCCAACATCTGCCAAACAGAAACATCAACAAGACAAAAAAAGGTCAAGCAGATGTGGCTTACTTGTAACAGCTGCAGGCAGCAGAGAAAAAAGAAACACCAAAGGACAAACACAAAGACAACACGTAAGAGCCAGAATAAGGAAAAACAGGAAAGAGTAAAACTTTTGCAATCAGCGTGATTGGTCATCGACCATGTATGTCAGTGTATGCGTATCACCTCTTCCACTGGATGTGGTGTGTTTGTGGAGATGGTTAGACTTTGTGACGCCACATCCCATGACTGTTCCTGTTCAAAGGACCAATCAATCATCTCATCAGTGCAAAAGGATTCAGAGTACATTCGGGTAATTCACCTGCTAGATTTAATACTTGAGCACATATTTACACTGGACTGCTTAAGTACTAAAGAGTTTTAGGCTTTGAAGCCACTACATTGTTCTCAGGCTGAGATAGAAGTTCATTACTCTGCTTCGTGCACGTTTTTTAATAGCTCTGCTTCTTTCTTTTTTTTTAACTCTAAGGCACCCCTTCATTGACACTGAGAAATGCTGAGCATGGCTCAGAAGCAGCAGCAGTAGGCAGAGAGCTGGAGGACACTGAACTCGTTCGACTTTGTGGCCTTTTAATCTCATTATCCGCTGGTTGGCCTCAATCCTGCCACACAGGACTGTTTTGTCTGAATTCTACGAAGGGTTATGTAAAGCAATCTATGGAAAAAAGGAGGCAGAAATACCTTCACAGCTGGAAACCATTTGGCACAAATCAGCATTGAGAATTTGGAAAAAATCTAATAAAACAATGAGCATTGAATTCTGAATGGTTTGGTTTGTTTATTTCGTATTGTATCACATTTCAGGAACAAATTAAAGTCTTGTTCTATGCCAAACGTGGATACAAAATTTAGTAATATATGACCATAAGAAAAGAACCAAAACTGTGATGTTTAGCATCTTTTTCCCCAGTTTGAACCTGCTTTTTAGTTAGCTGCTGTAGAAATCCATCTATACAGACTTACTCAACTATTACATCTTGAAATCCATTGCTTACTTACGCAGTCACCTTCTTTATCCAGTCACCACTTCCCAGGTTATTTGGCTGTCAGCTTTCAGTTCATTTGAGTGTTTAAAAAGCCCTTTGCTGTGTTGCATCCTTCACCAGAATAGCAGCAAGATGTCAGTTAGACCGGTCATTGTACAGAAGCTTCATGTATGAAGCAACCCCGACCATGCAGCTCTCCTGGAATGTGGCTGAAGCTGCTTTAGTCTTTAGTCCCTTGGTGTGATCACATAATCAAAGCACAAAGCCACAAGTGGATAATCTGATCTAATGACCTGATAGGTCCAAATGGGTCTTCATGTAGGGAGATGGAAAGGTTTCAGCTGTAAACATTGGTGGCAAGAGGAGACCAAGTCTGTGTTTACATGTGAGCACCTACTGATGATATGTCTGTAGATAAAAACAAATTCAAATATTCTTCACCATTGACTTGATTTTATTTTGGATTTCACTGACCATTTTCTTGAATACTCAACCCCCAAGCGCAACAGTTTCTTCAACTCGGATCCTTTTTTTATGATCGATAAAATTTTGGTGTGTGGGATGTTAAATTTTTTTTAAACCTTTGAAGTGGTGACAAAACATATCTCCAAAAGTTGATTCTGTTCATCTGGACGTAGCGTCATCACTTGGATGAGTGACGAAACGTTTCGTTTTACTTACCTGGATGATTGAGTATGCATCAAGAACATAAAGTCTAAATTTATACACCATCCATACCCAACGCATAGATTTAACCTAGAATAAATAGCACCAGCATAGAGCACCGAAGAATAAATTAGTTTTTCAAAAATCATTTCTGGTTCAGATTTCTGCTGACTTTATAGCTTTTGTTTTTCACAAGAAAATATCATAAAGTCGAAGATGTTTGATTTGGGTTTTAAAAAACCAACCAGATGTTACATTTTAGAAGTATTTACTGCGAAATTTGTACTTGTAGTCATTGGAAATATTTACACTAACTTTCTAACTATAACTTCGACATTAGCTTTGAGGGGGTCATGTTATCTCCCTCTATATAACGTCAAAACAAAACATTTAAATCTGGGTTGAGGATAAACAATTACAACGCAGCTGAACGCTTTCGCTCTTGAACGCCTCCCTCACGGGACGCTTTCATAATGGCGCAGGTGAGTGAGGAGCTAAACGTCCTTTTCTGCATGCTGCATGACAACAGACTAATAATTTGGGTTAATTTGGCTCATGGTGTTTTGCGCTAAATCTTTTTTTCTTCTTTTTTTGCCTCTAAATGAATAAATGAAGAAAACAAAGACATAGCAAAAGCGGAAATGCAGCTACTGGTTTGTGTAACATTAGAGATCATAAAGGTTCAGGGTGGCAGTTATTCCCTCAGTTTCCGGTTTAATAGGCATTTAAAGAAGAATACAAAAGCCCCGCAGTCCCAACATGTTTCTGAAAGTCACAGCCGCGTAGGCTGTTTCCCACTTTTTTTTTAGCTTTATGTAAGAGATTATATTGCCCTGGTGCTATCAGCATGGTTGAGTCAAACATTAAAGAGTTTACAGCGTGTGGACTCTTAAAAAGTTAATCCACTGAAAAGGGCTTAAGAATAAAAGATCATAAAAGTAATCACGTGTCCCGATGTTTTTGGTAGTGTAGGTGTCATTTTCTCAGCACCTTGATCGCTGTTTCTGTTGTAAGCGCCTTGAGGCGACGTTTGTTGTGATTTGGCGCTATACAAATAAAATTGAATTGAATTGTTTGTGTCTTTGAAGACAAGGAAGCTTTTTATAACGCTGTATTGTTGTTAGGGGAGGTCAACATATCAGAATTTAATGTAGGAGCTGCTGTTTTTAGGGTTGTTATTCAATTTTGGGAGTGTAGCATGATTTCATAATCCACTTCACTACTGAGTGACGGGACAAAGGCAAACTGTAGATGTGAGCTGATTAATGAACTTGTTAATTTAGCGGCATAGGGTTAAGGTGTTTAGCAGGAGAGGCAGTGCCCCACAGCGTCACTGCAGCTACTGCAGTGGGAAACTTATGGTGGCCCCTAGAGACAAAGCACGTACAAACTCCAAAACACTTGCAAACTCCAAAACAC